TCTCGCCAGAGGCGACCGAGCTATTAATGCAGCGCCGCCTCTCCCTGTCAGCCTTCTAAACTCAACTATTATTAATTTTACCAGGTGAGGCCCCACTGTACAGCTCTTTTTGAGAAGGGATTTGGCTATCAGGAAATTATATCGGAACGAAGTGGAATATCGTCGCATGGAATTTGACAGCAGAAGCCAAATACCCTAAACCCGTGATCTCGATTCTAAATGTGGAGGGAAAAAACCGCGCGACCACGGGGAGAGAGACACGCAAACTCCAAATATACAGCAGCAGCAGGCGTCAGGGTCGGGTTCGAACCCACGACCTCCTGCATAACCAGGTGAGGTAGTCAACATCTGCACTCACACCGACTGCTGCGCCTCTCCCCCCCCTCTCCCCCCCCCCTCTCCCCCCCTCTCTCCCTCTCTCCCCCCTCTCTCTCCCCCTCTCCCCCCCTCCCTCCCCCCTCTCCCCCCTCCCTCCCCCCTCTCCCCCCCTCTCCGTTCTCTCTCCCCCCCCTTCTCCCCCCCTCTCCCCCCTCTCCCCTGACCCCCCTCTCTCCCCCTCTCTCCCCCTCTCCCCCCCCTCCTCTCTCCCCCCCCCTCTCCCCCCCTTCTCCCCCCTCCCTCCCCCAGACGACGCGCCGTCGCTGGCCACCGCTGTGCCGGACTCCCCCGCCCTGCGCCGCTGGCGTGCGCTGGTGCTCTCGGACGCGCGTCTCTTCGCCGCCATGTGCTCGGAGCTGCGCGTGGTGCCCGACGTGTGGGCCCTTCACGAGTGGAGCGACTGGCTGACGCCCGTGCCGCTGGCGCCGGCGGCGCCGGGCGCCTCGCCGCCGCGCCGATTCGACGCCGTCTTCTTCCTCTGCTGCCTGGCCGAGGCGCCGGCGGCTTCGCACGACGACCACGAGACGGTCGGCGCGCAGGTGGGACGCGGTGCCGGTGCAGGTTTGCCGCCGCAGGTTTGCCGCCGCCGCCGGCGCTCTGCGGTGACGGGACCGGCGAAACGTTGCCGCGGCGTGACGGGGCGACCGCAAGGCGCGAGCCGAGCTGCGTTGGCTGCCGGTTGGCAGACGAACGCGTCGTTGCGAGGGTCGCGCTCGTGACGCACGGCACGCGCGTGACGCGAATGGGCCGCAATAAGTTCGCTGATCTGTCGTCAAGAAGCATATACCATCCTCGCAGCGGCGACTTTTGGCTGGCCGTCGAACAAAGACGGCGGTCACCGCATCGTCGCGCGGCGCTTTCAGATGCGCTGCTTCCGCGGCCGTCTGAAACGCTCTTCCTTCCGATATTAGGAAGCTACGCGCTTTTAAATCGTCATCTAGATTGACAAACTCATTTCTTTAGAACCGCTTTTTGTGTGGAGTTCTCTGTCCATCCCCCGCACCTCCGATTAGCCATGGTTGGCGACGAAATAATTTAAACACACGTACGTACGCACGCACGTCGGAGCCGCAAGCGCGTTCGGCGCCGGGCGCTATCGTTGTGAGGGCGCAAGGAAGGCGCCGCTGTGCTTCACAGACGCCGTTCGCAGCGAGGGTTCGCGCCGAGGGTTGCGACGTTGTCGCCTTGTCCCGAGTAAATTGTGACGTCGTTGTCTTTGTGTGTTTCGGCAAATTTGGGGCCGCGACACCGGGGCACGCATTGCCAAACCATTCTTTTTATGAACGACGTTAGATGTGCGGCAGATGACGCGTACGTTTGCCGCCTGGTAAATGCTGCGGTTACCACGCACCGCTGTGGCCACGGGGCTCGAACCGCGAGCGCTTGCAACGAGCGGCAAACGTAACGCAGCTTTCGGTGACATCGCCGCCGTCGCCACCGATGACGTTTTCCAATCCCCCACCCCATGTCCGCCCTGTGCCACAACCACAACCCCTACTACCACGACCACCACCACCATCACCACTTCCACCATGACAACTACCATCACCACCGCTAACATAACTACCGCCACCACTACCACAACCACTATCACCGTCACTACCATCACTACTACCACCACTACCACAACGACCACCACTACCACTGACATTGCTACCACCGTCACCACCTCCACTACCACCACCGCCATCACCACTTTCGCCACTGCCACCACAACCACTACCACTGTCATTACCGTCACCACTAACACAACCACCACGACCACAACAACCACCATCACCACCATCACCACTTCCGCCACTTCCACCACAACCACTACCACTGTCACTACCATCACTACCACCGTCACTACCACTGTCACTACCGTCACTACCACCGTCACTACCATCACGACCACCGTCACTACCACTGTCACTACCTCACCACTAACACCACCAACCACCACCACAACAACCACCACCACAACAACCACCACCACAACAACCACCACCACAACAACCACCACCACCGTCGACGCCGCAGTGGGTGCGCCCGCCGGAGCTGCTGTCCCAGCACGAGGCGGGCGCCCTGTGGCTGGCGCCGCCGCAGCAATACGAGGTGGCGCGCCTGTGCCGCGTGCCGGCGCTGCTCACGCTCGCCGACTTCGCCCGCCGCCGGGCCGCGCTGGGGATGCACCGCTGGATGCCGGTGCGGGTCCCTGATCCGGCGGGAGGAGGAGGTTTGGTGGGGGTGCTGCCCGGTAAGCGGAAGACTGCCCCGGTCGCCCCGGTCGGAGAGGGAAGAGAGAGGGGGGAGACGCGCGGCAGTCAGTGTGGGTGCGGTGTAACCACAGCCAGGGGCGTCACGGTGGCGAGATGTTAACTGCCTCGCCTGGTATGCGGGAGGTCGTCGTGGGTTTCATCCCGACCCTGACGCCTGCTGCTGTATATTTGGAGTTTGCGTGTCTCTCTCTGTCTCTCTCTCTCATCATCATCATCATGGTGGCGAGGAGATGTTGGCTAACTCGCTTGGTGTACAGGAGGTCGTGAGTTCCATCCGACCCTGCTACCTGCTGTATATTTGGAGTTTGCGTGTCTCTCTCTCATCATCATCATCATGGTGGCTAGGAGATGTTAACTACTTTGCCTCGTGTACAGGAGGTTGTGGGTTCGATCTGACCCTGACGCCTGCTGCTGTATATTTGGAGTTTGTGTCTCTCTCTATCTTTCCCTGTGATCGCGTGGATTTTTCTCCGGGGCCTCCGGTTTTTCCCCTCCACATTTAGAATCAACGTCACGCGTTCAGAGCATTTGGCTGCTGCTATACATGTCCACGTGATGATGATGATGAGCCACTTCGTTGAACTATCATTTGTGATGGTCAGGTCGCTTCTGAAAAAGAGAGCTATGTAGCTCAGTGATGCCTTATTTGGCAAAATAAAAATAGTTTACATTTATTTGGGGGCGGCGATGCGGCACACAGCGGTTCGAGCCCGGTGGCCTCTCCGGTTAATACCGCGCCGGTGCCGTCGTTCACCGTGAAATACGAGAGCACCGGATGAGGCCTCCCGGTCCCCACACCGCCGGTCTGGGGGTGGCAGCATGGAGGGGGAGGTTGAGGTACCGGTGAGAGAAAGCAACGGGAAAATCTCCGCAAGAGCTGGGACAATCTGACCGGCCATTACCTCCCGAGTGTTTGTGCCACCGAGACCAACTGGACTTTCGTTGCTCCACGCCAGAGGTCGCAACCGGGTACCCGATACCCGTACCCGGCTGGGTACGGGTAGCCGTTTGCGACCCTGGTGCGGCCGGGTACGGGTAGGCCGTGAGTCACTGGTGAGTAGCCATTTGTCATTCATTTCGGGTAGGGTACGGGTACGGGTAGGGAACGGGTACCCGTACCCGGCCGGGTGCGGGTACCCATTTGCGACCCTGGTGCGGCTGGGTACGGGTATGGGTAAGGAATCAAAACCCGTTTGCGACCTCTGCTCCACGCCGGGACTCGCGATCGCGTGGGCCGTGGCGGCGACGGCGGTGGCGGCAGCGACGTGACCCGGCGGTTCGGATCCCGGAAGGCCGCCCCGGCTGGTACAGCGGCGTGAGATATAACCACAAAGGACTTATTGTACCACTGCGCTACCGCTGCTGCTACTATGACCACCAACGCGCCGGCTGCTTGGCTCGCAGTGGACGAAAAAGCCCCCCCTTACCCCCACGTCGGAATTTCCAATTTATACATTTTCCGGAGGTCGCACCGACGCCAAGAATCGACTCGGTCGGGGAAAAAGGCGCGTCGGAAAACACCGCGCTCCGCCCTCGCGAACAAACTTGGCAGGAACCGATCCTCAAAAATCGGTCCTGCCAAGGCGAGGCTTTTCTGGGGTAATAACACGACTTGCGTATCGCCACCACCATTCTCACCGCCGGCGGGGTGAGCCGGCGCTACTTCACCGGCATCATCGGCATCGCCGCTGCCGCCGAGCCTCGGAGGGGCGCGCTCGCTTTCGGCCCCCTCGCCAGCTGCACTTGCCCCCCGGCGGAGCGTACGGCCATACAGCAGGGGACCTTTGTCTTCGTTGTGTGTGTTGGGAGGGGTGGGCGCACCGCGCTTGCGAGCCCCACTTAGCCGTGTTTGATTCCCGTGCGCGGCTAATGTCAGTTTGTGAATATATATTTACACGGTCTGGCCTTGGGCTTCCCCGAGGTCGTTTTGGCCTTGAATGAGTAGCTGATGAGATGCGTAAAAACATCGGCAATGGAGAGACAAAGCTTGCTGGGTGTGGTGCCCGCTAACAGCACTTGCCCCGGCAGTCTGCCGTAGGCTATCCGGGGGGGGATCTTTGTGTTGCCGCAAAATATTTACGAGCAGACTTTTCCCCCTCTCTTCCGTGTATCTGTCCATCCACTCGGCATGCCTGGGAGTTGCGTGATTTCGGCTGCGTTGGTTTAACGCAAGCAAAATACTCTGGGGCGCTTTGAACGCGCTGGCATCGCTTCGGTGCGTGAAAAAGTGTCGTCGGTCGGCAGCGAGGAGGCTGGTGAACTGCCAGACGATTATCGGCGAGGACTAGTTGAGACACACACCGGAGCGCCTCATCAACGCGCAGCGGTAACATTCCTTAATTCTGCCTCTGCGCCGACACGCCCGGCAAACTCGCGTCGCCCTCCCCCACCGCGTTAATTTCCACCATCGTCTGATCCACCGCCGCCCCCCCCCCCGCCCCCCTGCCAGGAGATGAGCTGTACCCAGCGGAACCGGACGAGATTGGCGGCGACCACGGCGGTGGCGCCGTGGTCCGACCATCCGCGGCGCCGGCATCGTCGCCGCCGCGGCCGGGCACCGCACCGCGCCTGCACCGCACCACGACGGCGCGGGGCCGCGCCGGGGTGCTGCTCACCGTGGCGCCCGAGTTTGGCCACCTGGCTCCGTTCGTCAGGGAAGACGACGCGGAGGAGAAGGAGGAGGAGGATAAGACGAAGAAGAAGCCAGAGTCGGGGATTGAGAGCCGACTGTGAGCGCCGTGTCGCTCCGCCTGACGGCGACACGCATCGTCGTTGCCCTCCGTGCGGATTGACGACGGCGGATTCAAGGTGGAGTTGTAGATGTTGCTGTCCACTCGGTTGCCTGTTTGGAAGCAGAGCGGATCTCGCCCGTTCCTCCTTTGAAGGAGGAAAGGCGGCGGCGGCGGCATCGGCGACGACGACGACGCTGGAGTGTTTCACGACGACGTGCGGCCGATTCGACTTTGGGATCCGTTGCCGCGCCCGCTCGCAGGGCCGCCAAGCCTTTAGCGCACACGGATGGCACGGACGATCACGGGGGGTGGAGGGGGGGGGGCCTTTTTGGGTCACCTCGACCCGCTTGCATCAAATTAATTGCAAATGATGCAACGGCTGACGGCGGTGTCTTGGACAGAGGGACGGGGGGGTGGGGCGGGGCTGGAATGGGTGGTGGCGCAACGGTGACTTTCGTGGTCTCGCCGCGAGAAAGGGGGCCCCGGTCAGCGTTTGATTTCAGACTCGGGCGAGTTTCTGCGGTGGGGAGTGTGTGTGTGTGTGTGCGTTGTGGTTAGCGCGCTGCGCTACGGACCCCGCAGAGAGCCCAGTTCGATTCCCTGCTCGCGGTCAACACCGGCGACGAAAATCTGAACCGGACCTGGGCCTCCCCTCGGTCGACTCGGCCTAAAAAAATTAGTAACTGGTGCGGTGTGTGGAAACGTCGCCACGGGGGAGACAAAGGCGGCCAGGCTTGGTGTTGGCCACCGACCCCCTCGTGCGCCGTGCCAGCCTTCACAGATGCTCGTTTTTAACAGCACTTGGGCGGTCTTTGTCTTCTGTGTACATGGGTCACGCCACCCGGACGAAACCTCCCCTTCGTGTCGAATGGCGGCTGCTGCTGCTGCTGCTGCTGCCGCCGCCACCACCGCTGCTGTTGCCGCCACCACCGCCGCTGCTGCTGCTGCCGCCACCACCGCCGCTGTTGCCGCCACCACCGCTGCTGCCGTGACCACTGCCGCTGCTGCTGCTGCTACCGCCGTGAGCTAAGAGGCTCTTCATCAAGGAGCCGCCCTACAGAGGCGTGGCGCCCGCCACCTTGCGGAAGGGAGCGGGCACCCCCTCACCCCCTACCCCCCCCCACCTCCCCCTACCCCTCACCCCCCCACCACTCCCTACCCCTCACCCCCCCCCACCTCCCCCTACCCCTCACCCCCCCTCCACCTCCTACCCCTCATCCCCCCACCACTCCCTACCCCTCACCCCCCCACCCCTCACCCCCGTCGCGTGGAATGGGGAATTCCTCTTCCTCGACAAGAACAAAAAGACCTCGAGTCCAAGCACTTCAAAGAGGGGACCTCGGTGTGACTTGGCATCTCTTGAACGACTGTTGTGCATTTCCTAAGAACACACAAGAATTTGGGTGTTTTACCCTTTCTGGCAATAAAGCAGGAGTTTTTGTTAAGACGTTCAAACACCAAATTGATGCTTTTTGTAAAGGAATCAAGTTTCTGCATCAACCACGCAGCACTTTTGCTAAACATGCAAACTAACATGCTCTGATAATGTACGCGTTGATTTGAAGCTTTCGTGACTGCAGGAATCCATACTCTTTGGTTCTTTCAGTAAAGTCACGTAGGTATAAAATAAATCACGACGTTTCGGGCGCAACACAAGCGTCCGTCACCAGGTGGGAAAGCATGTGAGCGCTTAGCATGTTAATGTGAAATCAAATAGTGGTGCTAAGCTCTCACATTAACATCATGCTAATCTCTCACTTTAACATAGGCTCGTTGAGGAGACCGCTCTCCTATCTTACAGTTACACGCTAATTTCTCACATTAACATCACCAGCCCCGGCCACTTCTTGATGACCCTTGGGCTACACCCGTTTAAAACTTTTTTTAAAACAGTCTGCATCAGCAGCAGACCATGCTTTCCCACCTGTTGACGGACGCTTGTGTTGCGCCCGAAACGTCGTGATTTATTTTATTTTCTACCTACGTGACTTTAGCGAAAGAACCAAAGAGAATGTACGTGTTGTCTTTGGCACTGATTGGCCTACACCACCAGAGAACAACATCAAAAGGCGAACAGCACAAAGACAATGCCCCACGTATCGGAGCATTTGTGGCAGCTTTATCACGGGATACCTTTTTGCCAGGATCAAAGTAGGAAGTAAGTAATATTTAAAAGAAATTCAAACACGCTTTAATGAAATGTACTGTACGAGTAATGGCAGAACTCCAGGAAGTGGCCCCGAAGCTTGCCATATCGCAAGGGACTGTGGTGATTTACAGTTGAGCGTGGTCAATTAGACCTGAGCCGAAACATAACAAAAAATAATATTTTAAAATATGTTTTTTATATTTTATGATAGAATATAGTATTGTCATCAGTATGCCATAAGTATACCAGGTTTGCAGTCGATACCACATTGGAAAGTGGGTTAAAATTAAGTTACAAGATTTGAGGATACAACAACAGAGTGAGTTAAATAAAAGCGTGTAAAAATATTGTTTAAAAATATATTTTTCATTCTTTATGATAGAATATAGTGTTGTCATCAGTATGCCATACGTATACCAAGTTTGCAGTCGATACCACATTGGGAAGTGGGTTAAAATTAAGTTACAAGATTTGAGGATACAACAACAACAGAGTGAGTTAAATAAGAGCGTGTAGTAAAATAGGAAGAGGTTTTAGCCTTAACCCCCCCAACCCCCCCGTTTCATTTGAAACCTCCGGATATACAGAATATATTTCTCCAGATTACGCAAATCAACATTGCCCCGCCGTGTCACCGATTGGGAGTGATAAGCAGCGTTCGGTGAACTCCTGGGACGTCTTGTAGAAACGTACGATGCAATCATCATACCGTTGCGTGTCCGTGTGTGTAGTTTTATCAAAGGGAGCGGTCGTTGTAGCGGTTAGCGCGCTGCACTATGAACCCTGGCGACCCGGGTTCGATTCGCGCTCACGATCGCCAACGCCCAGTGACGATTATCTGAGCCGGTCCTGGGCCTCCGCTAGATCGACTCGGCCTCAAATGAGTACGTGGTGCGGTGTGTGGTAAACATCGCCACTGGGGAGACAAAGGTCACTGGGCGTGGTGCTGGCCACCCACCCCCTCGTGTGCCGTGCCGGCCTTCACAGCTGCTGCTGTTCGATAACAACACTTGCCCCTACAGTCTGTTAAGGCTACACGGGGGGTATTTATAGTTTATCAGCCTAACTGCTGTCAATTCATAATTTAATCAATGCAACACTCAGGAGAGTGACTGATTGACAGGACCGTTGCTTATGTACATACGTTGAGCAGTCTTTTGCACGAAATGGCTCCGTGGTACCATCCCGCGAGCCCTCCATCCGTGGGACGAAGGGTGAGGGGCGGGCACGATGGCAGCGATGCAGGGAGAGAGGTGGTCTCAGAATTGTGTCCATTGTAGCGTACGAACCGGGCGTTGTTTTGTTCACGTGGCAAACCTTACCAGTTGGATAATTTTTCGATTTAAAGCTTTGCGTGACTGCAGGGATTAATCGTTCAGACTCTGTCTACTCGACAGACCTGCTCGCCACCTGAGGGACGGCTGCTTGCGTCGTGGCCGAAACGTCGTGAGAATTATTAAATTATGTTTTATTTTTATTATTTTATTCCCTTCTACGTGACTTTACCGAAAGAACCAGGAAGATGAATTGGATCATTGTCGGGCTTGGTGGCGGGTTTAACGACGCAACATTTAAGTTACGTGATCTAGCCCCCCCCCCCCCAAAAATAATCTGTGTTGTGGATAATATTGGTTGCGAAAGGTCCTACTGCTGTCACCTGGATTGTTCCGTGCCCGGCGCTCTGCGCAGAGCGTGGCTTCTCGTGTTCGGCCCATCGCCAAATCCCCCCGCGGGTTTCAACCAGCAGAACGCGTGGGGAGTCCTGGGTTTTGCAGAGACGCCCAATTAAAATGGCCCAGAAATAATTTTCTCTCGATAATGGGATCAACAATTGAGCCTGGAGCGAATCTGAACGTGTGCACAGCAACTGTTACTAATGCTACTGTTTTTATTTTAGCAGGTATGGCCACACTGCGCTATGTATCTATTCTTCAGAATCGACCTGGCCACATATGATAGTTAAATAAAGTGGCTTACCACGTCAAAATTCATAGCAGCCAAATACTCTAAAAACACACGGTGATGTTGATTCTAAATGTGGAGGGAAAAACTGGAGGACCCGGAGAAAAATCCACGCGAACACAGGGAGAGAGACGCACGCACACTCCAAATATACAGCAGCAGGCGTCGGAGTCGGGATCGAATCTACGACTACCTGTATACCAGGCGAGGTAGTTAACATCTCCCAGCCACCGTGGCGAAAATTCAGTGTTTATTTTTGCCCTGGATCACCCTGACCCACATTGTCATTCTGAGCGAAAGCCAAGCCTAGTGAGCACAGCTATAACACTGGTTAACACTTTTTCTGGCATGAGGTATTCCAACGGGTGTAAGGTGATTTTGGGGTGCTGATTCCAAATCTGGCATCAGTTTTTGTCTATCACATCAGGTTTTTGAGATATCAAATATTGCATTTTCAATCAAATCTGCAGAAGAAAAATATTAAATAAATGTGGATATCTACATAAAATTATATTATAAACACACTATCCTAAAAATACAGCACCATATTTTAACACTAAAGCAGTCACTGACTCGCAACAACTTGCAATCATAAGTGACAGAGTTAATTTCGGGTAAAATCAATGAAAATGGGGTATGCCGATAGCATAAAAATGAGATGTGATAGAGCAAATCTGAGATCAGATTTGGAATCAGCACCCTGAAATTAGTCTAAAAGAGCTACAAAAGTCCAGGCCAGAAAAAAAATGTTTTTTATTGTTGACCAGTATAATCTATCTTAAACAAGCACTGCCTCATGACAAGATCGCATTCTTGCCCAATCAAGCTCAGTCCAGGGGATACAAAACAATCTTGGCTCTCACCGGGCAACACCGCGCGTCGCCTCTCCGTCGCGAGCGCTCGCATCTCCCGAGCGCCGCCTCGACAGCTCTCTGACGTGAATGTTTTGGCTCCTGAACACAAGGCCTCTCCCCCAGAGGTCGCAACCGGGTACCCGATACCCGTACCCTACCCGATACCCGGCTACCCGGCCGGGTACGGGTACCCGTTTGCGACCCTGGTGCGGCCGGGTACAGGTACGGGTAGGTCGTGAGTCACTGGTGAGTCACCGTTTGTCACTCATTTCGGGTAGGGTACGGGTACGGGTAGGGAACGGGTACCCGGCCGGGTACGGGTACCCATTTGCGACCCTGGTGCGGCCGGGTACGGAATCAAAACCCGTTTGCGACCTCTGCTCTCCCCCCCCCGTCCCCACCCCGGCTCGTGGAGCGGAACGTCGGACATCGTGCCCCCAACGACACGCACGGCGGCAGCACGACCGCGGAAACAAAACTCCCAACGACGACGATCCCAGACTTGGCCCTGTCGCGAGCGCATCGGTCAGGGCTAAGGGTGGCGGGGGGGGGGTGATGATTCGAGTGGGGTTCTTGGTGGCCAGTCTGACTGCATTCTTTCTTTGCCAGCAGAGTTGGTCATCCGCTGCCTGTTGGGAGGGGGGAAGGAGGGCATGCTACGGTGCATGATGTTCGTGGTTTAGATCCCGACCCTGATGCCTGCTGTCTATTTGGAGTTTGCGTGTCTCTATCATCATCATCACGGTGGCTAGGAGATATTAACTCCCTCGCCTGGTATGAAGGAGGGCATGGGTTCGATCCCGATCCTGACAACGCCTGCTGTTGTATATTTGGAGTCTGCGTCTCTCATCATCATCACGGTGGCTAGGAGATGTTAACTACCTCGCCTGGTGTACAGGAGGTCGTGGGTTCGATCCCGATCCTGACGACGCCTGCTGTATATTTGGAGTCTGCGTCTCTCATCATCACGGTGGCTAGGAGATGTTAACTACCTCGCCTGGTATACAGGAGGTTCATGGATTCGACCCTGACGATGCGTTGCTGTAGTATTTGGAGTTTGCGTGTCTCTCTCATCATCACCACGGTGGCTCGGAGATGTTAACTACCTCACCTGGTGTACAAGAGGGCGTGAGTTCGATCCTGACCCTGACGCCTGCTGTGGATTTATCTCTGCGGGTCCTCCGGGTTTTCCCTCCACATTTAGAATCAACATCACGCGTTGAGAGTATTTGCTTGGCTTCTGCTATACAATTCCACACGATGATGAGCCACTTTCTCTGAGCTATCATTTGTGATAGCCAGATGGCTTCTCGCAAAGAACTACATCGTTCAGTGGGGCCTTACCTGGTAAAAAAAAGATATATAAATTTCGATTTAAAGCTTTCGTGACTGCAGGGATTCATCTTCTTGGTTCTTTCGGTAAAGTCACGTAGAATGGAAATAATAAAATAATAAAAATAAAACATAATAAAATAATTATTTCTTCAGACTGTCTACTCGACAGACCTGGTCTTCACCTGAGGACGGCTGCTTGTGTTGTGGTCGAAACGTCGTGAGAATTATTTAGTTTTATTTTTATTATTTTATTATTTCCATTCTACTTGACTTTACCGAAAGAACCAAGAAGAAAAAAAATATATAGTTTATTTGTTGTTTTTAATCACGAGAGATTGTGCAAAGAATGTACACACAAGATGCACTTAATAAACATTTCACTTTAAACTATACACACAGCATTGCGTGTTGTTTTAAGTTCGTTATGTGCGGAATGCAGGGTGGTGGTGACACGTCAAGAAGGGGCCTGGGTTCAATTCCCGACTCGCGCACCTCTCTGTGTGTGGAGTTTGTACTCTCTGCCCCCGTCTTGCAGAGTGTGAGCGAATGAGTGTCATACCTATAGACATACATGTGAGGCTGTGTGAGTTTGTGGATCTCTGCGAGTCTTTGGGTCTATGTGCGAGTCTTTGGGTCTCTCTGCAAGTCTTTGGGTCTCTGTGTGAGTCTTTGGGTCTCTGTGCGAGTCTTTGGGTCTCTGTGCGAGTCTTTGGGTCTCTGTGCGAGTCTTTGGGTCTCTGTGAGTCTTTGGGACTGTGTGAGTTTGTGGGCCAGTGATTCTTTCGGTCTGTATACGAGTCTCTGAGTCTATGGGTTTGTATATACATCTGTGGGTCTCTGTCGGAGTCTGTGGGCTTCGGTGACGCACACGTACGTGTACGTCATCGGAACTGAATCGGAAAGCAAAACACTGATGACGTACATCAGTGTACGTCATCGGTGTGTGTTTGTTTCTTATTCCGTTCCGATAACGTACACGTACGTACGTGTATGTACGTAGTGTACGTCATCGGGAAAAGGGATTGAGGCCACGCGGTGCCGTTGACGAACATGCCGAGTTTTTAAATCCTTTATATTAAGTTCGCTTGCTTGCTTGCTTGCGCGCTTACGACCGTGCAAATCTTTCGGTCGTTTTTTAACCCACTTCCCGTGATCCAATCGAGCTGACATTTTGCACACAGACTCGTTGTGCGTGACAATTGATTTTCGTGAAAAAAAATTCCACTTTTTAGGGGAAAAAAATTCATAATTTAAAATACCAATGTGAGAAAAATGAAACTTACTCAAGAAAAACAGAAATGAATAATAAAATAAAACCGATGCCACGCATATAAAGGATTTATAGTGAAAAACTTTGTTTTTACGGGTTAATTTTTTCTAAGTTTTTTTGCGAAGCGCCCACACCACGGATGATCGGATACGTCAGGGAGACGATGGAAATGCGGAACAAGAAGCGAAGGAGGTACGCTCAGGAAGCGTGGTGGTGGTGGTGGGGGTGGTGGTGGTGGTGGAGGAGAGGGGAGGCAGCGAACGTTTTGGGTCGCACCGAGTAACAGGAAGAGGAAGCGCGTGGATTGGAGAACGCGTCACAGCTGCGGACATCACACACCGGGCACTGCGAAGACGAAGCGTTGTAGCCCTGGGCGGCACGTGTCTGCGTGGGAATCAGAATCTTTATTTAGACTGGAGGAGGGGGAAGGGGGGTATCCGATGAGCCGTGAAGATCTCTTGTCAGAGATGTCGAGCTCGGGGCACGGAGTCGGAACGTCACGACAAGGAACAAGCGTGATAGGAGTGCAAAGTATTGTACAAGAAATGTCAACAAGTCGCACGCAAACAAATACAACTCAACTACGTTTTACTTTGCAGGGCAAAGCATCGCTGAGCTATTGGCTGCTTACTGGTAGGGAAACCCACTGGTTCCACCAGCCCACAGGGGATTATTGTGTCCGTCCGTCCGTCGTGCAGGGAAGGGCTGCGTGGGTAGGGCTGGGAGGGGCTGGGTGGGGAGGGTGGGGTGGGGAGGGTGGGAAAGGGCTGGGTGGGGAGGGAGGGTGGGGCTGAGTGGGGAGGGGCTGGGTGGGGAGGGGCTGGATAGGGAGGGTGGGGAGGGGCTGGGTGGGGAGGGTGGGGGTAGGAGGGTGGGGGCTGGGTGGGGAGGGGCTGGGTGGGGAGGGGCTGGTCACCCCGTGGTGCCCTTATAAAACTCAACGTTTCACCTACTCACGCCGGCTTGTGCCCGCCCTCACAGTCGGGCATATTTGCGGAATACACCACGCCGCCGTTGACCCTGCAGGCCATTGACCGAGCAACCCGACGTTCCTACCAGCTCCCTCCGCAGGACAATGTGTTTTCTTCAGAAGCGACCTGGCCCACCACGAATGATGGCTCAGATAAGTGGCTGTACCACCACGTGGAGATTTATCGCGACCGAATAATCTGAAGCAGTGGCTCCTTTAACCCTTTGCTGCAGCCTTGCACCCCATCGGATTGCAATCGTAAACAAAACTGTAACTGTTAATAAAGGCACACGGTTTGATGCAACAAAGTTAAGTTGTTGCTTAACGTGTCCTTGCTTAATGTGTGTTTTTCGATTATTTACTTTCTTTTAAAATAAACGTGTCCACGTCTCGCACCCCCAGGAAGGGCATCTCGCACCCCAGGTTAAGAATAAGAAGACCCACTGGCTTAAATTTCGATTTGAAACTTTCGTGACTGCAGGGATACATCTTCTTGGTTCTTTCGGTAAAGTCACGTAGAAGGGAAATAATAAAATAATTAAAAATGAAACAATAAAATATTACATTTCGATTTAAAGCTTTCGTGACTGCAGGGATTCATCTTCTTGGTTCTTTCGGTAAAGTCACGTAGAATGGAAATAATAAAAATACAACATAATAAAATAATTCTCACGACATTTCGGCCACAGCGCAAGCAGCCGTCCTCAGGTGGTGAACAGGTCTGTCGAGAAGACAAAGACCCACTGGTCTAGTGTTTTGGCTGCTATACATTGCCACGTGATAAGCCACTTCGTTGAGTTATCATTTGTGGCCAGGTCGCTTCTGAAAAAAATCAATGTTTTTTTAGCTCAGTGGGCCTTACACGAGGTTGCGTGGAGTTTCTCCCCGGGTCGTCTGGGTTTCCCCTCCACACTTAGAATCAACATTACGCGTCTAGAGCAGCGGTTCTTCGCCTTGCACCTCTGTGGTTTTAAATCGTTAGCAAAAATGTTCAATGTTCATACACACGCGGGGTTTGATGAAACAAAGTAAGTTTTTACTTTCACGTGCCTGGTGCTTAATTAGTTTTCGATGATTTACCTTCTTTGATTAAAAAAAGTTATATTTTAAAATATTTTTTTAAACACGCTTTAATAAATGTACCGTACGAGTAATGGCAGAACTCCACGACTCCAGGAAGTGGCCCCGAGGCTTGCCACAACGTAAGGGGCCGTGGTGATATACAGCCAACGTCAGTTGAGCGTGGACAATTAGACCCAAGCCGAAACATAACATACGCAAAAGATGGTTTAAAAATATTTGTTTTATTTTTAACGGTAGAATATAGTATTGTCATCAGTATGACACAAGTATACCAAGTTTGCAATCGATACCACATTGGGAAGTGGGTTAAAATGGAGTTACGAGATTTGAGGATACAACAACAGAGTGCGTTAAATAATGGTTTGGCTGCTGCAGCTCCTTCCTATTAAAATTTCCCTTCCTTTATTACTGCTAATCCTACTTCCTCCCTTTATTACTGATAATCCTACATACTACACGAGCATAATATGAGTTTGAGACCCCCCCGCCCCCACCACCTACACATTCCACAAGTAGTGATTAATCCAATATCTGCATTTTCCATAAATATGCTAAATTCCTCGGTTGATATGTAAATTCCTTTGTCAAGGCGCCCTTCCTCCCCTAATCCAGCTTAAATATACGCTGCCAAGCCTGGCGGTGTTCATTTAGACGTTCTTTCCGACAGACCTGTTCTTCACCTGAGGACGGCTGCTTGCATTGTGGCCAAAACGTCGTGAGAATTGTATTTTATTATGTTTTATTTTTATTATTTTATTATTTCCCTTCCACGCGACTTTACCGAAAGAACAAAGAAGATGAATCCCTGCAGTCACGAAAGCTTTAAATCGAAATGTAATATTTTATGATGTTATATTTATTTTATTTTATTATTTTCCTTCCACGTGACTTCACCGAAAGAACCAAGAAGATGAATCCCTGCAGTCACGAAAGCTTGAAATCGAAATTTAAATAAAAGCGTGTAATAAAATCTGGCCATGTCTCAGAACCTCTCCTCCAGAAAGGGCATCTCGCACCCCCAGATGAAGAATAACCACCGCTTTTAATAATCAAATCAAACGCGGGAGGTGATGGCCGCGGGCAGCGCACACACCGCAGAGATGAAGCGACTGAATCGGCTCGTGTGCCAAAAGATGCTGCTGCGATGGACTTCCGTGTCGCGAGACCCTGACGGGTCGTGCTGCCATTCGGGGGAAGAGCTTCATCCAGCAGTAGACGGATCACGGCTGATGATGATGGTAGTGGTGGTGGTAGGTGCGGTTTGCCCTCTTGAAAATAGCCTAAATAGCAACAGCAAGGACGTCTATTCATGGAACATCCTCATGGGGTTTTATCTCAAGACGCTGTACAGAAGTTAAACCAAAACGAAACTTCGATTTAAAGTCTTCTTGGTTCTTTCGGTAAAGTGACGTAGAATGGAAATAATAAAAATAAAACATAATAAAATAATTCTCACGACGTTTCGGCCACAACGCAAGCAGCCGTCCTCAGGTGGAGAACAGGTCTGTCGAGAAGACAGAGTCACGAAAGCTTTAAATCGAAATTCGATTTAAAGCTTTCGTGACTGCAGGGATTCATCTTCTTGGTTCTTTCGGTAAAGTCACGTAGAAGGGAAATAATAAAATAATAAAAATAAAACATCATAATAAAAAATACAACATAATAATAAAGACGCTGTCTTCCCGACAGACCTGTTCTTCACCTGAGGACGGCTGCTTGCGTTGTGGCCGAAACGTCGTGAAAATTATTGTATAATGTTTAATTTTTATTATTTTATTATTTCCCTTCTACGTGACTTTACCGAAAGAACCGAGAAGATAACACGAAACTATTTTGACTTAAACTTGTTTGTATTTTGCCACGTAAAGAGCCCGCGGAGATGTGTAGCTCTTCGTCAGAAGCGACAATAGACATCACGAATGATAGCTGAACGAAGTGGCTCATCATCATCATCATCATCGCGTGGAAATTTAAAGCAGCGGCCAAACACTCTAAACGCGTGGTGATGCCGTTTCTAAATGTGGAGGGGAAAACCGGAGGATCCGGAGAGAAAAATCCACGCCACCACG